GTAAGGGAAGCCGAGAGAGAGAGAAGAGATAGATAGATAGAGAGAGAAAGCAAGAGAGAGAGAAGGGGGGGGGAGAGAAGCCGAGAGAGTGAGGAAACGAGAGAGAGAGAGAGAGATACGATATAAGATTTGAGATAAGAGAAAGCGAGAGAGAGAGAGCTGAGGAAGGCAATGCGAGAAAAAGATGATAGATAAGAGAGAGAGAGAGATAGGGAAAAAGATTGAGAGGGAAGATCTCGCGTGAGAGAGCGAACGAGAGAGTAGAGAGACCCGAAGACCGAGAGAGCGTGATTAACACCCCCTGCCTCCGATTTCGTCTCTCCCGACACAGGAATACGGCAAGTTGACAAACGGTCGGACCGCATAAGGCAATTCACAGGAACTCCGGAGGTGGGCTGCGGCAAACTGACGTCATTCAGTGAGCTGGTGCGCTGGACGAAGCGCGGCGGCCATCTCGACTTTGCTCATCATGCGCTCCGAAAACCCGCGGCAGCTTCGCGTCATCGCAGAGATTGGTGAGTCAGTTGCGCTCTTCGCGCGGACCGGCATTCCGTGTACGATGCGTTCATGAGAGCGATTCGTATCACGATACAGCAAATCGTTTTTGCGGGTAGCGTATACTGCTATCACGATTACACGCATGCGGTTTTTTGTCCGGTACAGTTTATCAGTATTTTCCATCGACTACAGCATCGTTTGCGTACAGTATAGTATCACGATAACAGTATCGTTTTGCGGTAGCAAGTATAGTATCACGATACAGCATCGTTTTGCGGTACAGTATAGTATCAGGCCGATACGTACCCGCATCGTTTTGGCGGTACAGTATAGTATCACGATTACAGCATCGTTTTGGGCGGTAGGCGTATAGTATCACGATACAGCATCGTTTTGGGCGGTAGCAGTATAGTATCAGCGATACAGCAATCGTTTTGCGGTAGCAGTATAGTATGCACGATACAGCATGCGTTTTTGTGCGGTAGCAGTACTCATACGTTCCTTTCTTCAAAGACTCCGTTAAATAAAGAAATAAGTTCAGCTTTTTTTACTCTTCCCAAAAAGCCTCCCGCCTAGAGAATCCTCTTTTCCCATTCCTATCTCCTAAATCATAAAATCTCTTAGAAATTCTCTCTTTCTCATACTTTCTCATAAACGCTCTCTCTACGGCTCGGCTTCGCAGAGTTAGACAAGCCGCCCGCCGCGCGCTCTTATTAGCAGCGCTAGCTCGTTAGCTTCCGTTCGCAGCAAGTATATAAGTGTAGACAGCAGTAGCAACAGGCAGCAGCAGCAGCAGCAGCAGCAGCAGTTACAAGCACAACAGCAGCAGTAGTAAGCAACAGTAGTAAGTAGCAGCAGCAGCAAAGCAGCGGCGGCGGCAGCAGTAGTCCAGCAGTAGCACAGCCAGTGGCGGCGGCGGCAGCCAGTAGCAGCAGTAGGCAGCAGCAGCAGCAAGCGGCGGCGCGGCAGCAACAGCGGCCGCAGCCAGGCAAGCAGCAAGGCAGCAGAGTAGCAGTAGCAGTTGCAGCAGCAGGCAGCAGCAAGCAGCAGCGGGATAACAGCCTGTCGGCTCTGCCGCACTGCTGCGCGCGTGTTTGCGGATGCATTACCTGTCGCGTCCTCCCCTGTGTGAAGCCATTCGCTTGTGTAAACAACCAGCGGTCAAGTGATCGCCGCCGCATGCGCACACACGAAGGCGGTTTTTGTTTCTGGGCGCAGCCGCTGCAGCGCCGCGCAACGTGAGAGGAGGTAAACATCAGTGAGATCTCCAGCCGCAACTGGTACAGGACCGAAGGAATGACTTAGGAGTGATACACTGCCTATCTTCCAGCTGTCGGTCACAGCAATCTCTAAAAAAAGAAAAGAAAAAGATAGGAAAAAGAGAAATCGCGTAAACACTCAGATTTTCGCTGCATTCGCCATGCGAGACTTGAGTGGATACACTGCTATCTTCACAGTGTGATCGGTGACAACATCAGAATTCCCAGACTGTATTCCCAGGAAAGACTGGAGTGATACACTGCTATCTTCAGACTATCGGCCGACACTCAAGGTTTCACCGAGCTGTATTCCAGGAGAAGAACTAGAGTGATAACACTGGCTTAATCTTCAGCTGTCGGCTCACACGCTCAGTTTCTTGCTTAGCTATTCCCAAGGCCAGAGACTGAGTGACTAGCATTGGAACGTGAAACAGTCGCGACTACTCCGCGCCGAAGAGACCAACTGATAGCAGCACGCTGGATTGAAAGAAGAGAGAGATTAACACTAAGCCTATAGTAAGAATAAAGAAGGAGGTGATTCACGGATACAGCATCGTTTTGACGGTAGCAGTATGTATCACGATAGGAAAAAAAAAACAGAAGAAAAAAAAAAAAAACAAAAAAAAAAAGAAAAAAAGAAAAAAAAGGCGAAAAAAAAAAAAGGGGGGCATCGTTTTGCCCGGTGACAGTATAGTATCACGATAGCAGCCATCTCTTTTGGTACAGATATAGGCAGCAGGAATACAGATTTTGGCGTAAGTATAGTATCACGATACAGGCATCGTTTTGCGTACAGCTATAGTATTCACGATACAGATCGTTTTTGCGGTACAGTACAGTATCAGCGATACAGCATCGTTTTTGCCGGTACGCAGGTAGCAGTATCACGATACAGCCCATCGTTTTGGCGGAACAGTAATTAGTTCACGATAACAGGCATCGTTTTGCGGTAGCAGTATACGTATCACGATACAGCATCGCTTTTGCGGTACAGTATAGTATCAGCGATACACGCCTCCCGATGCTATGCCACATGCAGCGCAACTGCCTCCGCGGCAGTGCAGTCGTGGCGTGCCGGGGGCAGACGTGCGCGTTGTTCACGCATTAGGCCGCGTTGTTCCTCTAATCGCCACTGTGTTTCTGTACTGATTGCCGTTTCCATAGTCGCGTCGTTGGTTGTTTGCGACTTAGAACTGCCGTTGCTTCATGCTAATCGTTGCTGCGTTCCGTACTGATCGGCCGTTCCCGTAGTCAGTTTGGTGATTGTTTGCTTGATTAAACAGCCGTTGGTCGCTCTAATCGTTGCCGTGTTACTGTACTATTGCCGTTCCGAGTCAGTCGTTGGGACCGTGGATTGTTTGCGGCTGTTAGAAAACCTGCCGTTGTTCCATCTTAATCGCCGCCAGTGGTTCCCGTACTGATTGCCGTTCCCGGCGCTACGTTCCGCAGTCGATCGCTTGATTGCATGCTCTTGCAAGCGAGAGGAAGACGCCGGAACGCGTGCGCAAGCTGCTAGAGGAGGGACAAGGAACGTTCAGGAGCACGACGCGAGGAAAGGAGAGAGGCGCTCCTGTCGCCTTGCCTGTTCTGCCGGTTACCTACGAGTTAGCCGCAGCGTTAGCTGTGTGCGCTCTCTTACCACGCAGTGTTTCTAATATCGGCTTTCCTATATCTTAGAGTAATGTATTATCGGCTCTCTTTCAGGGTTTTCGTCTCGCCAGCGGATTCCCTTAGAAGACGTCGCCGCGAGCGGGTTTGGGCCGCCGAAAGTTTCGTGCCCCACAGTCGTGTCTGTTGATTTAAGTCGGCGTTTGCCCTCGCGAGGGCACAGGTTATCGAGCGATGCGCGGCGCGCCAGTAGGCGGCGATATGCCAGCCGACGCCGTGAACATAACGGACGGGGTGCGAAATCGCGTTGTCGTTCGTTTTAGCGGAGGGGGTGGGTGGGGGGGTGAGGGAGCTGATTGCATGGTGTTCGGGGTACATTACATTATTTACCACGCTCTGTCACCTCGATTAACGAAAGCTTGAAAACGGTGATTACGTGTTTTATGCGATAATGTTTGCGCAGACTTGAGTGGCACGTGTGCTGCGTGTTATGGCAAAAGAAAGTAAATGGAATTGAGAGCGAAACTGTAGTAAGGCTAAAAAAAAAGATGTTTCCGAGCATAACCCGACGGCCTACCTACAATAGCGGGCTGCACGCATTTTTAAAAAAAAAAAAAATAATTAAAAATTACAAAATTAAAAAAAAAAAAAAAAAAAAAAAAAAATAATCAATCAGTTATTAATAAAAAAATAAAATCATAAACTCCTAGAATATGGTAATCACCTCACCTCTGAACACTTGACATTTTCAGCATTTTTTATTTAAAAAACCTAACTAAACCTACCTAATTTTTTCCAAGACCGTTTCTCGGAAACACACATTTATTTTTTTAGGGCCTAAGGAAGCAATGGTATGCTGCTTGATAACCAAAAAGCAAAAGACTTCATCGTTAGCATTGTTTGGATAGATGTTTGGATAGATAGATGGCACGAGCCGTGGGTGGCATTGATGGACATGGATGGATAGACGGTGGTAATGGACGGACGGTCTGTGGTTGGATTGAATGGATGGATGGATAGCGGCCCCTGTGGGTGGATGGCACGGACGGTGGGTGGATGATGGATGGATGGATAGACGGGTGGGTGGATTGCCGCAGAGTTTCGGCACTAACGCTAGTCCGTTAGTCTCGAGACTAGTAAAAAATAAGCAGGACTAGTAAATGCCCATTAATCGCCCCGTTAGCTCCTGTGCGACTAGATTATTTTCCCCGCTGCCTCACGCGTCCCAATTTCCATTCTCCCATCGATTTTACTATAGTCTCCCGCCGGCAGCTTACTCTCAAGCCAAGATCCCAAAGAGCTATATAACTCACTAAGCTGCGGTTCGTGCACATCATGCTGATTCAACAGCATGGTAGCTAATGGTCGTCACATCATGCTGATTCAGAATATATAATTATGGTGTTGGGGGTCTCGAGAAGATAGACGGACAGAGTGACAGACAGATTCCCCCATTTATGTAGTAGATTGCCATCAACAAGTTTCCCCTGTTAGACGCGCTAGTACAAGTAGACGCTAGCACGCTCTAAGCACGCTAGACCCTATGCCCGTACAAACATTGTTAAACAATGGGGCCACGAACCAGTCTACCTATCGATCGTTTGACAGTAGCTGTTGATATAGAACAAACGGTCTGATTGTATAAATGACACAACTAATCAGTTATACGCTCTCATAGCGAGGTATTTACATCGCAACCACATCGCATGCGTGTTTTACTTGAACAGTTGAAGCAGTCGATACAAATAGTTATCTATAGTAGGGAAGCATAGTAGTAGCCTAGTAGGTACATCCTTATCCAATACTAACATCAAGGTTGTTATGTGGAAGTATTTGGACGGAGCTCGTCCTTCACCTCCCAAACGTAAGTCGCAGGAGGAGAAATTAGATGGCCAGCTTGCCTATCATAAGACCAAAAGGATGCGTACGCTCCAGCCAGCGTGGAAATCGTCATACCCGTGGCTCAGCCTTTTCTGCTCAGTGGCAAACACTGGCTCGGGTGTGCTTGTGTGGCGATACCTTTTGGTGGTACATATAGGTAATGTATTGCCTACAGATTTATATAATGTACAGTGATACAATTTGTAAAAAAAAAAGAATGAGAAAGATCCATAAAAATGATTGAGTCGGCCCCTTTTTGGCAGGTCGGTCGGGTGAGGGCAAACAAACAATATTTTTATTATGGCCTAAGGGATGTGATGGGGGGCAGCTTACTGAGGAACGTGACGAGGAGAAATTTAACATTTGTGCAACGTTCGATGAGCTGATGTGACGCGGGACAGTATTGGTAGATACTAAATACCCAGGGCTCTCTCTGGATGTTTTAAAGTTTGAGCCAAAACTCGAGCCACCAATGTATTTTGCGAAGGTTGCCAACACAAGTGGTAGGCCTGGTATACCTGCCAGCGAGGGAATATAGATACAAAGGTAAAAGAAATGCCTTTATCGCTTCAACACATCAAATTATCAATCGATCGAAAAATTGGTTTTGTTTCGATTAGACCCACCCAACAAAACGACTTCAGGTAGGACATGTAAATATGTTAAGTAAAATACATGTAAATATGTTAAGTAAAATACATGCTTCAGCTTTCTGTTCAAATGGGTTTCAGGGGTGAAAATTAATATAAATCTATAATCAACTAAAATAACTTGCAGACATGAGAAGGAATTTAAATCTACAGTTAATTTGACCCAGCCAGATAGAGAAAAACTGACGGTATTATGTTCGGTTCATCGGTAGTTCACCGGCTTAGTTTTTGCACCTTTCTATTCCTCAACTCTAGACTAAAGTTTTGTACCCTAAAAGAGAACCGAAATTCAATGCATTAATCATTTAAAACAAACAAGTGACGCAGAGCGACAGCGCTCAACTGACGTGTACTGTAGCCGGGCACTATGATAGGCTTTGCTATACCGGTAGTACAGTAATAAAGATATACCTGTGTAACTTTAATGACTTCACTACATTAACATGTTATTATGGATATGCGTCGAGCGCGAGCGTAGTGGTTAGGGTGAGGAAGGGTGGTGGGGGAGGGTGCTCTAATAGTAAAAGCAGTTCAGTCCTTTGTTAACAGTCAACAAATCCGTGTTTACCCCTCTTCTTGCGGGTCAAAAGATTATCAGACACTAATGCTAGCTGCACACTATACGATCCGAGCGCGATCAGGAGGCTTACGTCTGGATCGGGAGGCTTACGTTTGGCTCGGGAGGTCATTTTGGGCTGATTCGAATTTTGAATCGGGAGCTGAGCGGGTCGTATAGTGTGCGTGGCCATCCGAGCCGCCGCCGAGCGCTGAAGAAAATTGACCAATCACAGAGCAGTGCCATGGGAACCGCATTCGGTAAAAATGGCGGAAAAACACTCCCGACCCTTAGTACACGCTAAATCCGCTTGGAACGCCACGAGAGCGCCATGGTTAGCGCCGACTTTGCGTCGTACAGTGTGCGGGGGCCTCCTGATCGATCGGGAGCGGGTCGTATAGTGTGCGGGGGCTTACGACTGCGGCTCGAGCAAAATCGTATAGTGTGCGGCTAGCATTACTCTTCGCACGTCATGGTCCTTTCAATAAATTGATAAAAATGGTAGGTCAGCGCTGAAACAAAAAAGTTTTGCACTCGGTCCGTTAGACCATGTTCTCAGAAAATGTCTGATATCTGACCTTTCCCCCACTGCCCTTTGACCTGTACGATAATAATCGAAAGTCGTTTGCAGCAACTGACTAAGTCTAAGTAAATCTAACCTAGCTACACCAAACATAAGCATGTATAACACTGTTTCATAGCTTTTAGAATATTGTATTACGAAAAATACTTTATTATATGATATATGATATATTTCAATATCTGGTAGCCGCGATCAATGACATTTAACCGATTATCTTCGATCATCGATCGGTTGGGTGCAATCGATGATCGGTGATGAAATTCCAACCGATTCCCATCACTACCCTCTACTACTACCAGAGATGCCAACACATATTTGAAGCAATCTGTAGTTTCTGGCCATCAAATTAGTAGTTCGAGGGTCACGTAGCGACCCAAGTTTGCTAGGGGGGTCCGGCATGCCCCCCGCAAAAATTTTTGATTCTGAGATGCAATTTCCTGCATTCTGAAGGTCAAAAATGACAATAAATTGACAAAGAATGACAATAATTGACCAAAAATTTATTTTTTTCGATCACAGTGAAATTCGTAGTTTGATACAAACTGGTCATAGTGGTGCAAAAGGAATAGAAATTCGTATAAAATACGGATAAATCGTAGTGGTTGGCATCTCTGCACTACTATCTACCACTCGCGTTTAGTCGAGTTATTTGCTTACGATGTCGGCTCCGTACTGCAGCAGTAGTTCAGCGACGTCGGTGTGGCCGTTCTCACACGCGTATGTGAGTGCTGTATCGCCAGTCGCCGTCTGCGCACGCACGTTCGCACCTGCCATGTAAGAAACGATCGCACGCGATTAAATCAGATCGGAATGACGAGGCGATAAACTGTTGGTCAGTTAATCGAGAATTCATCTTAAATTGACTACGTCGCGAATTTTCTATGGTAAAATTTGTAAAATTTTTGTTGCCATTTTTTTACATTAAAAGTAAGTACTAACGGGACTAAACGTATCGTCAAATTCTTACCTGATGTTTCTCAACTAGTTAAAAATCCAAAAAACCTGGACGTGCGTGCGTGCGTGTGCTTACCGGCTTCCAGGAGGTAGCGTACGAGCTCTAGGTGGCCCTCCTGCGCCGCCTCCATGAGCGGCGTGCTGGCCCCCAGCTCGATGTCGGCCTCAGCCTTGATGAGGAAGTCTGCGACCTCTAGGAAGCCGCCGCAGCAGGCTAGCGTCAGCGCCGTCTCCTGAGTCTCCTCCGTCTGCGCGTTGATGTCCGCACCTGCAGGTGGCAGCACCGTTACAGAGAGCCGTGCGCAGACAGGTGGCAGCACCGTTACAGAGAGCCGTGCGCAGACAGGTGGCAGCACCGTTAACGGACAATCATGCGATTCTACAAGCTGCATCTGACTTCGTCAGCCGAGCTAAAAAACACAGCATATATACAGTACTGCAAAATAGTAGCGCAGGAACGTTTACATGCTTTAGGGAGAGCGACAACAGAAAAACCAAAAAGTGACTAACGTGATCAACTTTCTAAATAAAGTATAGGATGTCATGGTCTGAAATTAGAGCAACCTTTCTATGTGTCAGCAGCATTCACAGCAATGAGAAATCTCTGGGAGTTCATCCAGGAATCTGTGAATCCTGTTTCAAACCAGACAGAAACAGACAAAAACACCTGCACAATTCTTTCTCTCAACGCTATTAATTAAAGTAGGTCGAAAATAAACTCACAGATTTTCATTTTCTGCTCAGTTTGTTTTTACACTTCAGTGCATTGACCTACATTAACACAGTGATTTATGAAATCCCACCTCTCCCATATCTGAAACTGTATATCGCAGTAACACACTTATGAACGATTGTAGTCCGCACGAGATACTGTACGGCGCAGCGCCGTAGCATTGAATTTTTCAATGTGACATTGTTAATATGTAAATTACTGGGTGTGGTTTACATCGCTGTTTAGAACAGTCTGCTAACAAGATCCTCATCCTGATGAGAATGTTTACTCACCGAACGATTCCCTCACGACTGTAAGTTTAGCACGGTTTATTATCGTATCCAGTAAAATTTCCATACGGCTTACTCTCTGTACTATTAAATTGGATCCCCGCTAACACATGTGCCTGCATCATCTGTAATCTATGCCATGTTAGGGAAGGGTTAACACAAAGGCCTTGCTCTCGGTGTGTACACATACACGACGTGTGCGATTGGTGAGTGGGGTTAGGGCAGGTGCCGTTCAAAGTTGAACGGTGTTAGTAGCGCAGAAAGGGTCATTGTCGTATCAGGTACTACATATATGTACCCGAGGTAGTTTTAGGTTGCTTAGTATTATGTTTATATTTTTAAAAGAAGGAAGCTTAAGGGTAAGGGTAAGGGGAAGGGACACACCTCTAGAACAAAACTCGGACACACTGTGTATACATATATATACACCGCGGACACATATATATGTATTACCTGATACGACAACGACCCCTTCAGCGTTAGTAGCACAATAAATGACGTCAAAGAAACGTGGTCAGTCACATCGGCCCCAATAGACAACAACTCATACGCCTGCGCACGGTGTTTCCTGCACATGTACCTCTGCCGACATACCTCCAGTGTTTGAGCAGTAACTTTAATCACACGGTCCCCATGCACTAATCCTCAAATATGCTGATGTGTTTATGCAATCCTCCGGTCCCAGGCAAATCGACTAGAGCCTTGAACTTTTATGATTACCATCAGAAACACGTGAGAGGCCGATTAAACACAGCGAAAGTGGTTGCCAATAAAGGAGCCGCTGTATCTCTTCCAACATTAGAAATTTTGTATAATGATATAGAGTTCAAAACACGTGACCTTACCAGTCATCATCTCGAAAAACTTTACATTGATATTTTTGAAACACAATTAACACATTTTCATTTAAAAAAACAGGTTCATGAAACTAGTAACCTGCTTTTGTTGGGGGGGGGGGGAAATTGTTAAAAATTTACTCAGCGTTACATATTTCATAGAATATTATTTTATTAACGCATTTCTATATATATATGAGGTTTAAATGTATATAACGTTTAATGTGGCCATGTATGCTCGTTTCATCATAAAACAATGACTATTAGCTCTAAATGCACATTAAAATCCACTTGTTAGAGGTATAATTATAACATAATGGCTATTCTTCAAAGTCCTGGTGACTAATGACTAAGGCATTCATGTGTGACATTGTCAACTATTACCAATTTACCTGAGTATGATCACGAATGCGAAGTCTTCACATTTTTTGTGCGTCTGCTACAAAAAATTTAAATTTATGGAATGCCGATTTTTGTGGGCATTTGAATCGGAGAGCTGTGCTTTTAACGCGAATTACATAAATGATCATTTTAGTGGAAATGCTGATTATACATAGAGCTGATATACTTTCAGGATATCCTACAGGAACGAAGGCTGTGACGTGAGCAGAAGCACTAACGCGTGTTAGTCACTACTGGTTGATGAAGGTCGTGAACTTATTCTCCACATCTACGAAAGACGCACACCACTCTTCGTCGTCACGCCAGGCTGGAAGCAAGATAAGACGCCGGGAAACGCATCAAATAATAACAGTTTTAACACCCGACTACGGAATGCTTGTTTCGCGTGAAGATACACTCGCATGTCTACGAGGGTTTGGTTGGGAAGGGTAAGGTTGGGGGCTCACAGTCTTATTTTATTTTATCTTCGTCTTCGTCCGTACCTTTCTCTCGCTTGTCATTAACGACATCCGAAACATATAAGGAAATAAAATAAGACTGTGAGGCCCCGACACTACCCTATCCAACCAAACCCTCGTAAACAGACGGATGTACCTTCCCGTGAAACGAGCATTCTGTAGTCGGGTGATATTATTTGACGCACTTCCCAGCATCTTATATTGCTTACAGACTTATATCGTTATCGACATCCGTCGCCTTCACGACGGGATCGCGTCGCCCCGGATGCAAAAAAAACAACAGACAATCACCTGCTGCTTCTAACAGAGCCTCGAGGCGAGCCTGAGTTTCGGCGTCGACGCCGCGAAGATCCGGACTGTCCCCCGCCTCCGCCGGCAGTATGAACTTAGGCGCGTCTAGCAGCGCGTCCTCGTCCAAATCTCCCTGCTCAAGGATGAATGACTCCACCTAACGCAAAGACAACCAAAAAACACAGACGACGATGATTACGCATTCCACGATGCGTTCTCAGTCTACGCGCACGATCTGGTTTAGAATGTCCCATGTGTCCATCGATCAGATATTTTTCTCCATGAAAAAGACTATCTACAGTACATGTATTTGTGTTTGAATTACATGTTTGCATTACGTTGCTATTGCTGTAACCACGTGTATTTGCGCGGTGACGAAGGCGAGTATTTAAACTCTTTCTCGAAAATCCTTCACAGCAAATATTGTCGGGGAATCGAACACCTACACATTAATAATGCACGCGCTGAAACACATGGTGATTTGTATACGTCCGCTAATGCAACGTGTGCAGTGGGTAATGCATATATAAATAACAAAAAATGTGCATAAATATTTTATAGACTCCTTCGCAGGTGTATGTAACTAAAATAGATGTGTAGGTATACAAAAAAAAATCTACAAATGGAGATGAAACAATAAGGCTTGTACTTGTGCAAACCTACATTCTCTTATAAGAAACACTATGTATGTAACTGTTGTATAATTGTGCTATTCAGCATCAAAATTGCAATGCGGTGAGGATTTAGGGATTATGAAAATCTAAACCTATTTGTTATAACTTACTAATACTTGCACACAGTGTACATGTATCGAAATGAACAAAGGTATTGTCAATTTGTCAGACTAATCTCTGAATACCTAGAAACATATCTGACTACAACACATTTACAACTTTTTTTTTACATTACTTGCAACAATCATTTTTGGTTAAGTGATATAATACCTGACAAACTGAAAGATGAGAGAAAGCCATAAGCTCTAAAATACCTACTTGCAGTAATGCATACAACATGTGTTAAATCGCGGTACTTGCACAAGCGGCTAACCCCGACTGTGAAGATCCTCGAATATGAGGTCATCATTATCAATTTACAAAATACTATTCATCTTATCAAGAGCTAATAATACCATCTTACCATCTTATCATCTTACCATCTTATCATCTTATCATCTTATCATCTTACCATCTTATCAAGAGCTAATAAAGGTATTATTAGCTCTTGATCTTATGGATTATAATAAATCACAGCTTAAGACGAAACTAATGTTCAGGCACTTCCCAGACAGTGGTGACAGTAAAGGCCAAGACACACTGCAGCGACAGCGACCGACCGTAACGACAAAAGTCGCGGCGACTGGCGCAAACACACTGCAGCGACAGCGACCGCCGTTGGGTCAAAGTTCACCCAGCACTCGCGACAGTGGTACAGTGTACACATCATCACATGAACAAACGGAAAAACTGCTGCTGCTTTTAAATAACAGGCTGCAAAAACTCTAGGTATAAGGATAAGATAATAAAGTAAAATATATGCAGCAAATTATCATGTACTGTACTAGTCCGAGATTCCTCTGACCAATGCCCACACCGACTATTTTGGTGAATTTGGTGTGGGTTAGGTCAGAGCAACTTGCCTATGCAAAACGTGGAATTTCTCCGATCCTGCCGAGGATCGCTGTTTCATCGCGCCAAACTCACAATGGAGGCTATCAATCAAGATCTGACGCACATATATCGAAAACTGGATAACTTATATGATTGCTCGCGTTGGTAAGTACACTTGTACTCTTTTACCTTAGTCGTATTTCTATTTGAAAATTTGGTGCTAACAATTTCCCTCTGACATGCATCGGCCATCCATCGTACATCCAACTGCATTTTGGGAAACTACCACGCTACCAAATACGCTACTCTGTTGTTTCCCACAATGCAGTTAGATGCACGATGGATGGCCGATGCATGTCGGAGGGAAATTGTTAGCAACAAATTTTCAAATAGAAATACGACTACTTAAGGTCAAAGAGTACAAGTGTACTTACCAACGCGAGCAATCATATAAGTTATCCAGTTTTCGATATATGTGCGTCAGATCTTGATTGATAGCCCCAATTGTGAGTTTGGCGCGATGAAACAGCGATCCTCGGCGGGATCGGAGAAATTCCACGTTTTGCATAGACAAGTTGCTCTGACCTAACCCACACCAAATCCACCAAAATCGTCTGTGTGGGCATTGGTCAGAGGAATCTCAGACTAGTACTGTACATACTGTGTCAAACAGTGACCGTAGCTTGCCACAGCTGCACGCTTTGGTTAGACTGGTTCGCGGCCCCATTGTTTGTGACATGCGTCGCAAGTTTAGCGCCGGATACCAGTCTAGGCTAGCATTATGGGGTATTTATGACGTAATCATGATGTCACGTGCCGATGGAAACGGCTGCGATTGGCTATTTGTAAAGTGTCGCTGGCGACTGTCGCTGGAGAATAGAAACGTTCCTAAATATTTTTGTCGTCGAGGTTGTCGCCGGTCGTTGTCGCGTGTGTGTGCAATGGCTCATAGGAAACAATAGTTTCTAATTTTCTAAAAAGTCCTTTGTCGTTACGGTCGGTCGCTGTAGTGTCACTGTTTGTCTTGGCCTTAAATCTACCAGTGACGGTCATTCACGACTGCTGCTGTCCTTTTGAAGACACGTGTATGTACATTATGGCTGGGTCATTAACAACGAAAAATACTTGTAATATCATATTTATGAGTGAAACTATCAAAAATGGGTAATTATAAACCTATAAAACAATTTTAAATGACTACAGTGCGCTGGTCTAATTTCATGAATGCCGAACATCGTACATGAAGGCGGCCATCTTGATTTTTCACTGCCACGACCAACCCACATATATTTCTGTTCAAACTCTTTCATATTACGATTACCTACAGTACCAAGGGTTTACTTACGTCGGAAACGTCTTCTTCTTCACTCCCAGAAAAATCACCAGCCAGAGACTGCTGTATCGGGTTAAAAATATTGGGCTTTCCTGAAAGTGGCGACGATTTCGGATTCAGGCTTGTCTGATCAACTTCCAAGTTTGATGCTTTTGTACTCGATTTCAATTCCTTTGGCGATCGTGCATTCTGCATCTTTTAAAACTCTAGTGTCAGACAAATTGGCTTTTCCAACGACTTGTACTTTCTTACGTCTATAAAGCCTACAAGTGCCAAATATTTTTCATTTCTGCCTGAAGTAACTTTGCACTTATCACCGCCATTACTACAGTTCTCCTCTAAAAACCCGGATGTTCAGTACTGCGCATATGCAGAATAAAGCTATTGATGTCACAGGAGCGCATGCACACACAGCATGAGAGCAGCGCGAGCGCAGCATACATGAGACTATAAAGCTAGAAACTCATGATTATATAATATCAAACATGGCAAAATTATTTTCACGAACTATTATAGATAATAACGTTTATATGTTAGAAATAAAGCATGTATTTTTGTACTTTAGACCTCACGTAAATGGTGAACCCTGATTGATAAAGAAAACACAATGATATGTTCATGCATCATTTATTTCTATTTTCTATAAAAAAACGACGAAAAATCAAAGAAGAATTATAAATGAACCAATAAGAAGGTTTAACAAAAGCATAACAAGGCTGAAAATGTCCTCCATGAAAGTGATACTGACAGTGATACTGATAGTGGTAGAGTGATCTGAAAGTGAAATAGCGGCTTTCACACTATAAGGAAATCACACTGTCTAATGTTGCTAAAACGGCATCTGAAACTTAAATATATATTATCTTTTTTTCTGAAAGAGTTTGCCCAAATCCGTTATGTATAAGCTATATTAATGAGAAACTACATATCATTGTGATTCGGAAATAATATTATTGCAACTGATATCCTATTGGCAGAAACTGTCTGACATTTCGTCATTGGTAGCGCCCCAATCGTTTCGTTTGATGACGTCATCTGTCTAAGTAGAATCGAGATTCCGTGAACAACTCAAGAATTTTAGGCTATTCATCAAGCAAGTATGTGTCCGTTTTATTGAATATTTTAAACGTCGCCTGGTTTTCGTTAATGTCTACTGTGTGACTTCATAATATTACACATTTAATACGTGTAGCAATAGTGTTATTTTCGAGATAATCGTTTCTTAGTTTAGGCCTACTACTAGTTGCTGACCCACTTCGTGATTTGCGTAGGTACCGTACCGCCTACCGCAGTACCGGTATGTACACTCGGCTGTAGAGTAGTGTAGTGTAGGTATACACCTTCTTTCTTCTACGCAATCACGAACCCCCTGTAACTTATGCCGTTAAGAGTTGTGCTATATTTGTTCGCGTAACACACGTGTAAAAATGACTGCACAATAACAGCATGAACATGTATGATTCAATTTCAATGATGTAGATAGATATGTTTATGATGTACCATTGACATTGTACTATCACAGTATCACTATAGCAGTAGTACTAGTAATAGTATCAGTATCGCTCATAGGGATACAGACCTGTATGATATCTTTATAAAGTTGGATGTATTACGACATGTGGTATGTATTACGACATCGGCTGAAAGTCAGGGTACGGTTTTGAGTAGGCGAGGTACGGTCCGGCATATTAGATAGTTACCAGGGTACGTTCCGGCAGTACCCTGGAGGACATAGACCCTATCAGCATCACTCAGTGACACTGAGTGGGTGTAAATCCGGTTTAAGCTCCTTATGAATATATGAGTTATGTATCACGAAGTGATGCACAGATTTACATGTATCATTAAATTATGCACGCACCTATATCATACATGTGTCCAGTCAATAGATGGTGCACAAATGTTTATCTTCCCAAATATCCCCTATGGACGAAAAGTACTATTATGCTACTAAAAAATACAGAAAACCCGGATTTGCACCCACCCAGTGTTGCATCAGTATCACATGATATATCTCTAAATGGCATAGATCACATCACTGCCCACCTATGTAAAATGGATGTTGATGCTAGTGTTAAACCTCAAATGACACTGTAAGTTTCAAATTGATGCATAGCCGGTTTGAAATGCAGGTAGTATCAGTATCTACAGCTAATAAACTGCCAAACTCTGCTGTGGCGCCTCTTCAGGTATCAAGTGGAACAGGCCCATAGAACTTCCACGAGTAGGGTAGGCTGAATCAGATGCAGTGAAAGAGCTCCTTCACTTTATTATCCTCTGCTAGCTTGAAAATCGATTTGACTAAGAGCAAATGATCCAGAAAAACACCAGTTTTTAGCGCCATCTATGCGTTAGACTGTTAGTGGTTTCTCCCACTGAATTCTAATCTGAATCACATCCCAATGCTAAAAATACTGCTATCTCTATGATATTCACAAGTGTGGGAGATAAACATGTCTGGTGCACCCTCAATATATTTTGTTATACAATCCTACTTAAATTGATGTGTGATACATTATGCTATAGTATCCACGAGCATGCTGCTCTTGCTTGCTTACACACATTCAGTGGAAGTTGTACAGTTGTATGGAGTGTGTTTGTGTTTCTGTTTTTTAGCTTAATCACCAAGGACACTCGAGTCATCACGGTCATCATTATGAGTTGACTAAGCAGGTGTGTGACCGCGTCGGAGTGGGGTGAATGGTCAGCTTAAGACATCCCGGGTGTGTTTCGATACGTTGAGAGTAGGAACTTGATCAGTAGGTTCGACGTGCAGGAATCAGGAAAATGTATCGCAGTAAAAACGGGTTGCTTGATATTTCTGTGTACGGCCGCGCTTACTAACGGCAGCAGCGCGCGTGTGCGTCAGGCAAATTGTGTCCGGTCGATGTGTCGAGATAAGCGGGGGAAGGAAATTGCTGCGCGATGGTCCAGCAACGGTGTCGTCTGTGATGTTGTGCACACGAATGGCTGTGCAGCAGCCATTTGGCTTTGTAGTAGTTGGCCAGCTCTTCTGTGTGAACGTGTTATTATTGTATAAAGCATGGGCTGGAATTGATCCAAACGAGGTCCAGTAAGGGTGAAGTGAGCATGACAACCCAGGGCGTCGAAATTAGCGAGATCCCGATATCGCGGCGGCGTGTTGGTTTGATAGTAGTTCTTGTTTAGGGATAGCGTGTGATGAGTGTTCAATGCTTGGTATCCCGCCGCGGATAGTAAATGAACATATCATCAAATCGGGAATGTGGTATACATGTATCAGAGGCAAACCAAGACAATGCGTCTAGTCAATAGTCGGTGCGATAGTTGTTGAGCTGTTCTGCTGCCATATCTGTGAATCTGCTTTCATGTTTTTATATAATAATTGCATTAGCAGTATTAATAGCTTTTCAAATGCCTATTGCTATTGGCATATTTCGTGAGATTTGAGCGTACCACATTTGTTGAAATTACTATCTAAAAAATCGATACCAGATCTTTGGGCGGCGGGTGTACAATTTCAGATGGACCTGCGTGGTGATCTGAATGGGATACCATAATAAGAATCTAATTTCGGACCCGCGCAACCCCAGCCAAAACCAGCGAAGGCGTAGGGTTCAAAAAAGCAGACCCCCATGCAGTGTTCCAGCCCATCAGTGTTATATAACCTTTATATCATGTCTAAGCTACCCATTTTTCCAGCTCACTAATTCGCGAAAAAATGCAAGTAATCGGCGATCAATGCGGTGACCGTTGCTAGTAACGGCTGCAGCAATAGTATGAATACCTATGCCCTGCTACATTTTGTATAGCATGCAATCGATAATGCTGCACGACGTTTGTAGCGTAACGCTGGCAGAGCAATGTAGGAATCATATGCTGTACATTTTGTGCATTGTGTGATAAGTTTTTTCTGTAGCGCCGATGCAAGCTGGCGCTTTGCTGTCAGTGCTTGTGTATATAATATGACCTCATAGAAGGGCTACAAGGATCATCGTGTGGTCTCACCAAAGGCAGTATGGATGCATTCAAATCATGTCATTGCCTGCATGTCTAAGTCTTCAATATTGTATCCCCCCGCCCCCGACGAAGTCGCGGCCGTATTACTACTGGCTTCATTGTCTCCCCCAGCCGCCGCCGCCGCTCGGTCCGCCGCCAGACGAATTTCCCTTGCTGCTCTATACTCGCACCCCTAACCTTGACCTAGCGTGACCAAACTTGTATACTTACAACATCTTGGGGAGAAGGTGTGCAGCCAGCTGCCAAAAAACCAGGCCACTGCCCCCGACCTTTGTTTGACCTATTACTTGACCTTGATCATATTTCCCTTGCCGCCTTCTCTAACTCGGCCCTAATGACTAGCGCTACCAAACTTCGCCGTATACTTTACACATCTTAGCGCGGAGAGGTTGTGCAGAGTGCCAAAAAACCAGGCCACTGCGACCTTTGTTTGACCGTTGACCTTGACCTTGATCATATTTCCCTTCCGCTCTCTAACTCGCCATACTAATTGACTAGCCGCCTGACCAACTATCGGTATAATTACACATCTTGGGGAGAAGGTGTGTCGCGCTACCAAAACCAGGTCACTACGACCTTTATTTGACCTTTACCTTGACCTTGATCATATTTTCCTTCCACTCTATAACTCGGGCCCCTAATTGACCTAGCGCTACCAAATTTGGTATACTTACACATCTTGGGGAGAAGGTGTGTCGCGTACCAAAACCAGGTCACTACGACCTTTATTGGACCTTTACCTTGACCTTGATAATATTTCCCTTCCGCTCTATAACTCGGCCCCTAATTGACCTAGCGCTACCAAAACCAGGTCACTATGACCTTTATTTGACTTTTACCTTGACCTTGATCATATTTCCCTTCCGCTCTATAACTCGGCCCCTAATTGACCTAGCGCTACCAAACTTGGTATACTTACACATCTTGGGGAGAATGTGGGTTGCGTACCAAAACAAGGTCACTGCGGCTTTTATTTGACCTTGACTTTGATCATATTTTCTTTCCACTCTATAACTCGGCCCCTAATTGACCTAGCGTGACCAAACTTGGTATACTTACATATCTTGTGGAGAAGGTGTGTCGCGTACCAAAATCAGGTCACTGCAACCTTTATTTGACATTGACCTTGCCCTTGACCTTCATCATATTTCCCTTCCGCTCTATAACTCGGCCCCTAATAGACCTAGCGCGACCAAACTTTGTATACTTACACATCTTGGGGAGAACACGGGTATACATGTAGTTGGCGACAACTGCCCTTTCTAGTTAAGTATATAACACTATCTTTGAAACTGTAGGTCTTTATATATATATTTTTTTTTTTACCACAAATAGCCATCATTTTGACAAACAGATGCTTTTGTTTATGTAACCTTTAAAACGAAAACCTGCTGGAAAGTTAGAAAACAGCACTTGTAATGTGTTTTTAAGAACATCACTTCTCCTGCATTGCATAAATAATTGAGCATAGCATATTCTACAGTTATCATTAATCTGTTGGATGAAACTGCCAAGTGATCGTTTGAGCTCTTTGTATTAATTTTCAATGAGCATATTTCCTGTCTTTCGTCTGGACAATGCTTGTAATATTTCATAAGCATATATGTATATTTGATGGTACGTTTTAGCCGCAAATAGCTTTTGAAAACAAATTGGCACGATGCAGCAAATTGTACAGTTTCCGCAGACCATTGCATGTAACATCGGGAAAGCCGAGTGAATAATTTCCGCATGTGTGTATCGCTGAGTTTTCGCTTCAGTCCTGGGACAGCTTCTTCCGAAATGCCGAGCAAGGCTTGCAGCCGGGTGAAGCGTACCAGGCTCCTCCCTCACTGACAGCTTACCAAGCACCGGCAGTGGCTTATGCTCCAGCAGCTGCAGCTCCCAGGTTAGCATTGATTCGACGCTCCACACGTAATAAGTGCGTTGTTATTGAGCGCACCTGAAGTAGGTACAGCTTGTAAGTTAGCAAAGCAGCCGCCGGTCTCTACCTATCAACGATGATCGCAAATCTAAATCCAGTTTGACCAATTTATTGTTCATGATTGTGTTGTAAAAGGGGAAATCAGAAAACACATTGTTGGGTGGAGAACAGTTTTTTTGGTGGGGGCTATTCATCCATCCATCCATCCATCCATCCATCCATCTATCCACCCATCCATCCGTCTGCCCGTCCATCCATCCATCCATCCAATCATCCATCCATCAATCCATCCCATCCATCCCATCCATCCATCCATCTATAATTGGATCCTGGCTTTACAACAGCTATACTATGGTATACATTCTTGACACTTTGGCACGTGTATTTTTAATACTGTAGCATGTCTTGGTTTGCTTTGTAGACCAGCTGCAGCAGCTGCTCCTGCCTCAGCACCAGCCCAGGCAGGATACCCCAGCACGGATCCAAGGACCATAGCTGATCATTTGGCAGTGCAAGCCATCATCAGAGCTTACCAGGTATAGCACAAACCCACCCACTCCACTACGCCTCGACCGGCAACGAACACGCCGGGCTTTCGATATACAGTATTGGCAGATTGCCAGTTTTATTTCGCACATTTTTACGTCTGCAGGTTCTACTGTAAAATGAAGCCCTGTTGGGGTTGAATCGACATCTACGCTGCTGTTTGTTTTTGGGGTTGGCACTGGCAGGATTCTGTGATCTGGTGGTGCTAAACATGTGCTTGGCTGTTTACATATGGTTTAGAAGGAAAGTTGTTTCATCGAGATGTGAATTCACTTAAGAGTTCCGTGTACGTATTTACGGCGAAATAAGCAGATGCGGTATCACGTGTGATTATAGCAATTGACGAGATTACAAATTTAATGGGAAAAACCCGGCACCTGAAATAAATCATGAAGAACCATGAGCAGATTTTTCTGGATGCATATTTGCAGGACAAATCTGCATAGTATGCAATAGAAAGATCTGTAATCAGAATAGGAACTCTGCAATATTGCGTTGTTGTCATGTACTTATTTATATAAATACATTATATATTATATTATTGCCTTTTATGGAGGACATTACAGCTTGGAAGTTACGACATGGTTTTGGCCATTTTACAATTTAGTGTAAAATCAGATGAACACAGTCGTGTGAACGCAGTAGAGCACAGGTAGCAATAGAGGGTTACAGACAGTGGAGAATGTCTTGACACTGACAGGCTATTCGTGGCGGCTTTTTACAGCAATAGCCGGCAGCTTGTGTTATTTATAGATCATTGACCTAGAGCTGCTGCTACACGAGACTAGTGGTAATGTGGATATAAACTGATCATGATAGTGGTGCGACTGGGCCTGTTGCCATCGTCCTCTGCATTACACACATGAGCCTCATGCTTCCCTAGTTTGTATTCCCCAAGTCTGGGTCGCTTGATTTTGCATGCAAGCCTGGTAAAAAGTCAAAACTGCAGCATTCAATGTTGCGTCTCCCACTATATGAAAATACGTTGGGAAATGTCACGGTGCAAGATGACTGATTAAATTTCTTAAAAAATCAGAAACTATGGTAGTAGCATAGCTTTCAGCCACATACGCCAGGAAACGTCTAGTGCCGTTCGAAGGAAAGACTGTAGATAAGAATTCAAGGTAGATGTGACGATTGTAGTAGATTGGTAGCTGTGGTTTATTTCATCCCATGAGCAATCTTAGATTGAGTGTAGGGCTTCGGCAAAAAGAAAATGTCGACAGCCATTTCGTTAGCATGTGAGGTTTTTACAGATCTCATAATATTCGTAAGTGGTAAGGAATGAGTTGACGGCTATCGAATTGACGGCTTTGTAGATAGTTGGAGGCAGTTGTTATGCCGGATTTCCTTGTGTGTTTAGTCCGGGAAATTCAAGTTGAGAGTGTGGGAGAAGACAACGAGTCTTGACACAAATCAACATACAATTCACTCTGCGTAGTCTAGAGTGATGACCAACGTGCGCATGTAAGCGTGTAAGACATATCACACAACGTCTTAGTATGCATTTATGAATGTTGTAAAGTAAGGCATACATAATGTAAACGTTATATTGACCGATACGTGACTCTCTTGCACACAACAGTTACTGTGGAGGCCGTACAGTAGAGATAAAAGTGTCGTATTATCTCTAGACCTGTGCATTCGCACTTGGACGAAGCATATATACGTTACGTGTAAACATTCCATGTTTATGTTATGGTGTACGTACTGTCCGCCTTCTCGGTAGCCGGTGAAGGAGAATTTAGGATCTGTTTTGGCTAGAAAATAATTGCTTCCCTAATGCCCCTGTCACACATTGACGATTTAGCCAGCGTATGCCGGACGTATAAAAAATTTGGTGAATACGCTGGCGTACGTCGAATAAGTTATGTGTAAGTTTTGTATAAGTTAAGAGCACGCTGAAGCACGCTGAAGCACGCTGAAGCACGCTGAAGCACGCTGAAGCACGCTGAAACACGCTGGTATACGTCGTAGTACGGCGAGGTCGTCGAAAAATGTTGAGCATGCTCAAAATTTTCCGACGTATGCCAGCGTATGCCCA